TGTTCGAGTTAGGAAAAAACGTCCAGCTAATTATTGTCAGAGGCACACTTAATAGATAGGTATTTTAATATAAAGACGAACGTATTTACTGTGGAAAATAATTAATTTTTTATTTTTTAAGTGCCTTGTTATAAAATAATCTTCTATAAGCTGTATGTACTACGCTTCTTTCGTTTTAGAGTTAAACGTCGACGACAGTTCATTGGATTCGTTGGATAAGCGAAAAAATTCTCATTTATTTTTGGAAAAGAATACTGCAGCAAAATGTGTGCTCGGTAATAAATTATCCGGAATTCGCTGTTTGTACCTTGAATGGTTAGTTTCAATAAATAGTATTAAAATGGAAAAAAATTGTTTTTTCAGTTGAATATGAAATTAAATTTTATTATTAATTGTGTAACTTTTTAGTATTCAATAGAATTATTACTTTTTTAATTTTATATTTATAAATATTCCATTATTCTAAAATAAAAGCGACATAAACTGTAAGCATGATAATAATACCGTTTAAATACCGTTTCTCAAGATAAATGTTATAAATCGACAATAGACGCTTTAGGACTAAATACGATAACAGATCTTTTGATGTCAATTACAATCGTTTTCCTGGTTCGCGAAAATAGTAATTCACATACGGAAAAAAGTACACATTTTTAAATTATACGTTTCCTTTATAATTTATAATACAACAAAAAAAAAAAAAATTATGAAAATATCTTTAAATGTACCATACCTATGAACAATAAACGTTCTACGTTGAAAAAGTATTGTTTGTAATACTTCGATTCAATATAAATATAATTCATCTCCTTTATTGTTTGGTCGAATAGAAAAAAAGTTATATAGGTATAAAATCAAATATACTTTATTTCAAGAGATGTATATTGTATTCAATGAAGCCTTAATTTAAATTGTCTTTATCTGTAAGTGTAATATAAGTATGTATGTTTTATTTTAAAAATAAAAACAATTGAAATTTATAACTTAATCTAAGAAGAACTCATCCAAATACCAAATATAATATGAAAATGTGTAAACCCGATGGTAAAAAATTAATGTAAGCTAATAACCTCGTTGTTGATGCTGAATAAAGAAAAAAAATATATAAGGATGTATATTATATTTATACTTATTTAATTTGTGTTTCTCTCCCATTAAAACGCGAATGGATTTTCAGCTGTTCGTTCGTTTCAGATTCATTGTTGACTATGGCATAAACGTACGTCTTTTGAAAACCACAAGACGCATGTAATAATTGCTCGTTTTATGTAAATCGCAACGCGCGTTCTATACCCGTAATAAAATAAAAATCTCGCTAATGTGTTTTTAATCGAGTGCCCACTTAATTTCACTGCGAAAATATTTAAAACCCCGTTGCAGTCCCTGTCCGCGGAGCACGAGACATAATAATTGTTTAAAACTCCGTTCACAAGCGTTCTAAATCGTCTGCGAGATAATTATTTTTCTTCAAAATACATATAAATAAATATGTACGAATATGCAATCGTATTCTACTACGAACCCATGCCGTTTCGTAAAACTTTTTCTACCGTTTAAAAACCGCGCAGCGATTACAGTAATAATACCGTGTAACGGCAGTCGATTGTTTTCGAACATATTTTCTAATCGAATTATCAATCGCGCAACTTCGCGCGTACATAACCACTATGGTCACCGTAGTCGGCAATTATATTTTCGTTGTTCTCGATGTTACCACGAAATCCACCGCTTCGGTGGTATCACGGTGCTCGGTGCACAGCAGTATACACTAACGGCCATACGTCGTCTCCGTCTACGACCCGTAACGCGTGGTTATGAAATGCCAATGAACGCATACGGTCTACGATATATAATAACGTCATTATTGTACGCAGTCGCGATTCGCCTCCGAGCGGATTTCGTCGCGTCTCGGCAGATCGTTTCCATCATGACGCCACGCGTCTACGGGGTAAGGATGCACTTGCGCACGAGCGTGCATACGGAGCGATCGTTTCGTCGAGGGATGTCAAGAGGCCCGTCAACAAGCGGACGATCGAGTTTTCTCTTTTTCCTTACCGAACACGTCGATTGTTAATTTTGTGTTCACCACCGCGTACGCGTAATTTTAATTCCCCGCCCACACATGGATTTAAATCGGGTCGGGTTTAGGTTCTCAACGCCCTTAATCGTGAACCGATGACGTGAAGTGAAATATTTTTCTCAGACGTTTTCGGCCAAATTGACAAAATTAAAAGAAAGTAGGAAACACAATACAATTCTAAATTTAAATCGGGAGAAAAAACGCAAAACCGACAAGAGAATTATCGCCCGCCTTTTACACGTTTTTTCAACGATCCGAGTAAAACGGATTCGACATGCATCGAAATAAATGTTATGTTCTAAAGTGCATCGAGTGCGACGTAATATGTAACTTCTAGGAATAGAAATCCAAAACGGTTTAAACTTTCGAGAAACGAACAGTTTGACTAGCAATAAAAACGACCATCCGGTATGTTCACGTACACATAGACAAGTGTACATAAATATAAATATAAATGAAAACAACGACATTTTTCCGATACAGGTTTTATGCGCGAAAAAATACATAAAACCGTATGCGACAGGGGACGGGGACGTCGAGTCGATCGAGCAACGAGTAGAGCACGCAGTTATAACGCGGTCTGCTCGGAAAAGATGCACGAGGTGGCGGGTAGAACGAGAAAGAACGATGCCTTTCGGTCGTGAGCTCCAAACGCCTATACGAAGTGTCCGTGTGACGAACGCTTTTGGAAACACAATTTCAAACTGGGATCACGTCGAATGCGACACGAGGTAACTCGTGATTAGAATTATATTCGACTGACGCGCGTATAAGTTTATGAATTTATCATGCTCGGCAGCTTACGACCTAACCGGGTCGCGTGCCCTCACCTCGAATCTGAAATTTATTTCCCGTTTCGGCAGCATCCGTATATAAAAAAAAATAAAAAATTGTCCCCGTGTGAAGTCGAATGTTTGTTTTAATTTTCTTTGGTCGAGAAGTAAGAAAATACCTAGAACGCCGAACGGCACAAATGTTCACTAATTTGGTTGTTATAGTACGCGAATGTCTCTTGGTTTCAACGAACGCGTACGGCAAACGACCGTTTTGACTGCGCTACGCGTTAGGGGGAGGATGAGAGTTGAAAACTACGTGCGTTGTCGGAGCACGTACAGAGTGGACCGCGGTGTTTTCACCGATAGCGGATTATCGCTAACGGATCATCTCGTGTAGCCTTTGAGAGTAACGGTAGACCATTAAAATTTTCGCCTCCGCAGGCGTTCGGCTCGTTTTTGACAGGAATCGAAATAATAACCGTCGACGCGCGTGTTCGTGCTGTTGCACGTCGTTTTCTAATCTTTCTCTCGAAGACCACGTGAGCCCGTCCACGTACCGTCCGTAGAAGACGATTTCTTGAGTCCAACACACACTACACGCATACGATGGTGGTACACGCACGCGGTAACATCGTGTCCGCGTCGCCGTAAAAACTATAATTTCCTACAAATAATACATTCGTTTTATTCTCATATTTCGTCCCCACCCTGCACCTTGTCGCACGACCAACGCAACGCGGCAACAACAACAACGGCGAAAAAGTAAAAGTTGACCCAACACGCATTCAAATTTCACGTGTTCTATTGTCACCGCCGGTAACAACTATATTTACCCGTTCACGTAATAACGGCACGTAATTCGAATGCGAAAGATTCGTTTGAACGTTCGAATCGTTTCGTTTACGAAAAACGATTTCGTCTGACCGCGCACTCACTCTCTCCGCGTGCCACGTGTACGCGTTTAAATTTTTTTCGAACACGCGATAAAAAACGGTTTTTATTCCGAAAACATGACGTACAGTATAATTTATGAAAATCTACCGCGGTCTCGGTGTGTTCGCACGACAAGGGCGTACGCGAGCGCACGTATCGGGCGCATGTGTGACCGCTCGAGTCACACCTACGGCAAACAAAAATGAAATACAAACGCTGTACAATATGGGTACCTCTGTTTTACGTAAATAATTTTATGACCGCGGACATGACATTTTTATCATAAAACACATACAGGCACCAGCGTGTAACCGTTAACGGAGTTTCTACGACACCGCAGCACGAACACTGCCAACACGTACGCGATATCCTTATTTGACCGCAGTGAAGCCGATATAAACGACGTGGAAAAAAAAACACCGCGTCTAATCGGATCAAAACGAATATCTTATCCGTCGGGTTGACGACTATTAAAACACCGACAGTGGGAAACCAGTTAAGATCACGAGTACGTTTTGTTTG